AGGAAAAAAGAGGGAGGAGGAGGGAGAGGAGGAAGAGGAGAGAAGGATGGAGGAGGAGGAGAGGGAGGAGGGAGGAGGAAGAGGAGAGAAGGGGTGAGGAGGAGGAGAGGAGAGGGGAGGAGGAGAGAGGAGGAAGGAGGAGGAAGAGGAAAGAAGGGGTGAGGAGGAGGAGAGAAGGAGAGGGGAGGAGGGAGAAAGGGAGGAGGGGGAGGAGGGGAGAGAAGAGGGAAGGGGGAGGAGAGGAGAGGGGAGTAGAGGGGAGGAGGGAGAGGGGCAGCTCCCATTGCTAAAAGCCATTTACAAAGTGTTTAGCAATGAGGGCAGCTGAAGTTAGAAAAAGAAGGGACCCTCAAGGCTCTCATCATCTATTCCCCCATTTACAGAGGGGACAATTGAGACTCCAAGAGAGGGAGGGGCTTGTGAACAGACTGCTGGACTTGGGAGTCCTGGGTTCCAATCCCACCTCAGATGCTGTGACAGGACAGGATCTGTTTTTGCCTGTCTTTGAATCCTCGGTGCCCAGCCCAGGGCCTGGCACACTGTGGGTGCGTAATAAATGCTTGTGGATTGATTGCTAGCTGTGTGACCCCAAGCAAGTGAATTGACCTCTCTGGGCCTCCCTCAGCTTCCTCACAGAGATAAGACCCATGATACTGACCTCCCTGGCTTGTAGTGAGAACCCCTGGAGATTAGGTTTATGCCTGCTATCATCATCACCATCAGTCCCAGTGTAGTAAATGGGAGAGACTTCAGAGTTGTGTGAACTCTGAGCTCCCCAACTCGGAGCCTCAGTTTCACCACCTGTAAAATGGGTGCTTTGAAGGCTGGTGAGAGGTAAACCTCTGGAAACTCTGAGCACATCTCTATGTTACAGTTGAGGAAACTGAGCCCCCAAAGCTGGGTGACTGGCCTGGGGCCACAAAGCCAGGAAGTGGAAGAACTAGATTGCTTTTTCTACCCCATTAGACAGCTATCTCCCTTAGGCCCAGGGCTGCAAATACAACCCGCCTGACATTTATTAAGTGCCTACTGTATGCTGAATTCCATGTTCAGGGCCAGAGGAGATAGGAAGATTAGGTTAGATAGTGTTCTCACCCTCCAGGCACTCACAATCAAGTCATTCAACAAACATTTATTAAGCACCTACAGTATTTGGAGGGCCCCATCTCCAGGGCTGGACAGAACAGGAGCTTAATAAAGAATATTGTTGGTTGACTGATTGATGGCATGAAACTATAGATCTGAGGGAAGGAGAAGGGAGGAGGCGAACTCGGCCCTCTCTCCTACTTCCCCAGGCTGATTCTGGGTTCCCCCAGCTCACTAGGATGGAGGGCGAAAAACCCTGTGCAGGAGAAAGAATACCGGGGAGCCCTGGCTTCTGGTCCCAGCTGTACCACTAACATCTGGGTGAAGGTGGGCAAGCCAGTCCCTCTCGCTGGGCCTCAGTTTCCTTTTCTGTAAAATGAGAGGGTTCAATAAAAGTCTTTCCACTTAAGCATTCACTGTCTTCATTCATTCAACAAACATTAAGCCTGGTCCACTGGGCGCTCAGTAACCTGGCCCCAACGATCTTTCCAACCTCATTCTTCATCACCCCCCTTCCCATCCTCTGCGGGGTTAGCCAAACTAACATTCTTACTGTTAGTAAGAATTTCTCCACACCTTTGCCTAGGCAGTACCTCCTGCCTGGAATGCCCTCCCTCCTCACCTCTGCCTCTTAGAATCCACTGTCCTTCAAAACTCAGCTCAAGCACCACCTACTATGAGAAGCCCTCTCTGATTCTCCCATCACCCCAAGTGTTAGTGTCTTCTCTTCCACACTGTCTTGTTTTTACTCTGCATATTTATATGGACACATATAACCCAGGACTCCTAAGTCCAGCAGTCTGTTCACAAGCCCCTCCCTCTCTTGGAGTCTCAATTGTCCCTTCTGTAAATGGGGGAATAGATGATGAGAGCCTTGAGGGTCCCTTCTTTTTCTAACTTCAGCTGCCCTCATTGCTAAACACTTTGTAAATGGCTTTTAGCAATGGGAGCTGCCCCTCTCCCTCCTCCCCTCTCCTTCTCTCCTCCTCCTCACCCCTTCTCTCCTCTTCCTCCTCCTCTCTCCTCCTCCCCCTCCCCCTTCTATATCTCTCCATAGAATATAAGCTTCCTGAAGGCACAGACTGTTTAATTTTTGTCTTTGTAATCTCTGGCACACAGCAGGTGCCTAATAAATGCTTGTTGGATGAGTAACTGATTGCCTGATCCTTAAGGGGTAAAAAGACAAGAAATGCTATCTCTGCCCTCTTGGGGTTTATAGTCTAGTGAGGGAAATCATACACTCACTCACACACAGACACACAGAAACACAGACACAGAGACACAGACATAGACACACACAGACACACCCACAGACACCCACACACAAATAACCAATACTCAAGATAGAATGTGCTAAGGACCTCAAGAGGAGGGAAGCTCATTGGAGTTCAGGGAAGCCTTTCTTCCAGCTGAGGAAATCAGGGGAAGCTTCCTGGAAGAGGTGGTTTGAAGGCAGGATAGAATTTCCATAGGAAACATTTGTTCTGTTTGAGCTGGGGGTGGGGAGGGAGCGATGCCAAGGTTCCTATAATTGGCTCATCACCTGATTAGAGGATCATGGGAAGGGCCCTCAGAGGACACCTTATCCAACTTTCTCATTTTACAGAAGGGGAAACTAAGGCACAGAGAAGGGAAAGGGACTTGCCCAGGGCCTAGCTCTCCATCTGGAATGGGTCTTTGGTCATCTCCTCCAACCTTCTATTTTACAAATGAGAAAATGACTTGCTCAGGTTCAAACAGTCATTAAGTGCTAGTGGTGGGATTTGAACCCAGGTCTTGTCAATTCCAAGTCCAGTCTTGTGGCCCCTAGCTGCTCACAGATCTAGAGCCTACAGAGGCCGTGGAGGGCAGAGCCCCAAAAGCACATGTTTTCATAGCTCTGTAAGGCATAATAATAATAATAATAATAACAACAACTAACACTTCTATAGCCATTTAAAGTTTGCAAAGTCCTTTACAAATGTTTTCTCATCTGACCCTCACACTAAACCCTGTGAGGGTGGCACTATTAATTATTCCCATTTTACAGATGAGGAAATTAAGGCTGAGAGGTGATTTGTAAACGATCACCCAGGTGGCAGGGACCAGCAGAGGCAGCATTTGAACTCGGGTTCTATAGTTCTCTCAGACCCTCATCCAAGTCCTGGGGTGGGAGATATCTTTTTTTCCCCCGGAAGTCATGCTCCCAGAGACAGTTCAGCTCCACAGTTCCGTGATGTCTCTGCCAGGTAGTTGCAGGAGGGTTGGTTTTGGGATCAAAAGACCTAGGTTCAAATTCTAGTTCTTGGGACCTTCTCCACTCTGACCCTCAGTCTCCTCCTCTATAAAATGATAGTTGGGTTAGATGACCTCTGAGGTCCCTTCTGGCCATCCAGCTAGAATCCTAATCGCAGGGATCTTTTCCCGTTTCCCAGCACTGATATGAAAAGGGAAGAAAACCTTGGATCTTGTCCTTGTGGAAGGCCCAGGGAAGCTCCTCCAGCTCAGGCCCCAGGGGCTGGCCTTTCAGTCCCAGGTTATCTGCCCAGGGATGGTCACTGCCTCATTATCTACAGCACTTCTCTTTTCATGGAAAACAGGTTTGGGAATAAGCGGCTAGGCCTGCCTTGGGGAGGCAGGCACGTGACAAGAAGGACCCCACAGCTCAGGAGCTCTGAGGCTTACAAGCCTGGTCCCTTCCTGCTTCAGCTTCGCTGCCTGAAAACTGGGGAGAAGAACCGGGTCTGGCTACGTCTAATGAGTCTAGAAACTGGACCGAAGGCTCCCTGAGGGTGGGAGCTCTGCAGCCAGAAGGGGGCCTGGGAGGCTCGTTGTTTTTACAGATGAGGAAACTGTGGCTGCGGTAAGGGCAGTTCCTCAGATTCACCATTCCAGAGTTGGAGGACTTTGGAGGTCCCAATTCAGAGGAGAAAATGAGGCCCCAAAAGGTCAAAGGATCTGCCCACGGCAACATGGCCAGGAATAGGGAGGGCCGGGATTTCAGCTCATGACCTCTGTCTCTTTTCGCCCAACCACGCGGGAGAGATTCTCAGGACAAAATTAGTCCATATGCCCTTTCACTTAAAAAGACAAACACATGCCTTGGATTCCCTTAGGGAGAGCAGTGCCCTCCCCCTTGCCCCCAAAAGGAGGCTGGGAAACACTCACTACCAGGAAGAGAATCACGAAACTCCAGAATAGAAAGGGACCTTAGATTTTGTCCGAGACAAGATTCTTCAACTAGAGCATCCCGAATTGGGGAGTTGGGGAAGAAGCAGTCACCTAGTCTTTGCTTGAATAATTGCAGTGATGGGGAGCTTACTACCTTACAAAGCAGCCTGCCTTCTGTAAAGGCCACCCAGGAGTGGGAGCCACACAGAACAGCTCAGATCCTTCATCCCCAGGACAGACAGGTAACATACTGCTTTCCCAGTCAGCTTTCTCCACTGCCCAGAAGGACCTCCACGTCTCCCTCAGGTTCTTAATTCAGTCTCAGGTGAAGCCCCCAAAAGGAACATAAAAGTTTGGTACAGTGGAAAGTGTGCTGGCCTTATGGGGCAGACAGGTGGTGCAGTGGATAGAGCACTGGTCCTGAAGTCAGGAAGACCTGAGTTCAAATGTGACTTCAGACCAAACACTTGACACTTACTAGCTGTGTGACCCTGGGCAAGTCACTTAACTCCAATGGCCTAAAATTTGAAAAAAAAAAAGAAAAAGAAAAAAAGAAGAAGAAGAAGAAGAAGAAGAAAAGAAAGTGTGCTGGCCTTAGAATCAGAGGACCCGGCTTCTCCTGTGGGCACCGATGTTTGCACCTGTGTGGTGGTGGGAAAGTCAACCTTTCTGAGCCTCGCTTTCCTCCTGGGGAAAGGGCTGGAATAAAGGCACTGACTGATCAAAAAAGAAAAAGAAAATGAGAGGGATGGCATCTATGGCCTCTGACATCTTTCCTGCCTCTAAATCTATGATCCACTGCCCTGGGTGTCAGTTTCCTCCCCTATAAAATGAGAGGGTGTCAGAATATAATAGGTGTTTAATAAATGCCGACCTACCTCCTCCCCCAAAACCATGAATAAAGCCCAGGTTCTGATTTCTACACTCGGCTCCCTCACTTTCCTCTTTGAGGTGCTAACCCACTTACAACTCTGTGTGTCAGCTACCATGGGCAGCCCTTACCTCTGCTCGGGCAGAGACCATTTTGCCTGCCTTCCCCCAACCTCTCATGGACCCTGTATTATGGCAGAGCACTGGACAGGAGTCAGGAGGCCCAGCTCAGCAGCAGCTGGGACTTCCTTTCTGCGCCTCCGTTTCCTCATCTGTAAAATGGTCCTGAGGCTGCCTGGATAGCCCACCTTACTGGGCAGGGCATTCAGAGCTCTGAGGTTGACCCTGCATGCCATAAGCACTTCATAACTACAGAGTTGCTTCCAAACTCATCATTTCTTTTGATGCTCAGATGGGTCTTTATTATCCCCATTTTTCAGAATTGGAAAGCAAGGCCAAGTGAAGCCCGAGATCAGGTGGCCAGTTGTTGCAGAGTTTGGGCATGGACCAGAACCCAGAGCTTCAAAGTCCTGGGTCGGAACTCATTCTACTGCACTGTAGCTGGGGTGCAGATGAACTGCCCCCCCTCCCCTGGGTGCCTCCCACACAGCCATGATCACTGCTCACACCCCTCCCCCCAGCACCTTTAACAGCTCCAAGAACTTACTCTAGAGCTGGGGGCGGGCCGCTCCTGCCAGGCCCCCTTCTTTGCTCCCCCCAAAAGGCAGGATTCACCCATGGTGAGCTAAAGGACCTCTGACATAGGCATTCCTGCACCAGTGATTTCCCTGGAGAGGAGTCTAGAAATAGTCACCTAACGTCAGCACCATAATGAACCGTGAAACATGGAATATTATAGCACAGAGCCAGCTGAGACCATCAGAGCTGGGAGGGGCCTGAGAACAGGGGATGTCAGAGCTGGGAGGGAGCTTAGAACAGGGAATGGCAGAGCTGGAGCAGAACCTTAGAGCAGGGAATGTCAGAGCCAGGGTGAGGGGGTTAGTCTTTCGAGATGACTTAATTCAAAGCTTGGGATTTTACAGCTGAAGTAAATGAAGGCCTGGAAAGAGGTCTTGCTTCTGAGGTCATGCAGACAGTAAAAGGCAGAAGGGGGTGTGGGGGGGGCTGGGGGGCCTGACCCAGGTCTTCTCTCCACAAACCCCAGTTCTTCCCACTAACCACACTTCCTCCCACGGAAGCACAAGTCAACCAAAGCCTGGCCCCATTCAGCTCCGGGCCAGAGCCGGTGGGTGGGTCCGTGCAGATGTGCCTAGGGGAGGAGTGAGTTTCTGAGAAGGGATGAGCAGGGGTCTCACTGCGGAGCAGAAGGCGGGAGGAGGCCACTGACGCCGGGACCAGATGCTTCTGTCTGTTCTAATTTTGGGCCAACAGAGACGTGCTCCCAGGGACTTCCAGAGGCTGCCCTCTAACTTCCTGCGGGGGAAGCCACCTCCTCACACGTGGACGACCCCATCTGTCACTGGCCTCCTGAGGTCTCCCTGGCCCTCTCTGGCCCCCAGAGCTGCCCTCCCAAGTCCTCACAACTCTGGCCTACAGAGCCTCTCCCCTTTACCATCTCCTAGGCCCCCCAAACAGGCCCTGAGGAGGGGCCTGCAGCCTGCTTCCCTAGGGTCCCCTGTACCAAGCAACACCACGGGAGCTAAGGGCCAAGGTCGAGCCTGGACCACCTGGGAGGGCCTCCGTGGGCCGTGACGGCCCAAGTTCAGACAAGTAACTTTGTTTCCGATGTCCACCTGTCCTCCACCCCTGTACTGAAATGCCTCAGGGGGCTCAGTAGAGGCTGCAGTCCTTGGGTCGTGGGCGGGGGCCCCTGGAGGGGGGGGTCACGGGCAGGAGACGGAGGGCCCCGAGCCCGAGGCGGATGTCGGACCGGATTACCTTCAGCAGGAAAGTTTTCGGCTTGGGTCCCCTCTTCTTCGGCCCATAGAGCTCCCGCTCCCTCTCCCTGGCGAGGAGAGACCCAAACGTGAATTGAGAGACACGCCCCATGCATCCATCTCTCCTCCACGGGTCCTGAGGCGACGCAACTCTGGCCTCTTCCCCTCCACCCCCACCCCACCCCCCAACTCACTTCTGCTCGAAAGCCGCAATGAGCCTGGAGTCCAGGATGTTTTCCTCGGGTTCCCAAGTGCTGTACCTGCGAAAACACACATGCAAAAAGGAGAGAAGTGGGAGAGGCGCGAGCACACCAGGCCAAAAACAGAGCGAGCCCCCCAGGTTTGCGAGAGACCCCCTGGAGCGCAGGCAGCCAGCGGGCCGCTGGCAGCCGCTGCAGCGCCGGCCAGAAGGGCACCGGGCACCGGGCACCGGGCTGCTGCTGTTACTGCAGGAGGGAGGAAGGGAGGGAGGAAGATGGAAAGAAGGATGAGAGGAAGGCTGGGAGGGAGGACCGGTGGCTTTGCAACAAGCGGCCCCCCGCGACACTCACTTGATCGCCCAACCTTTCCATTTCACCAGGTACTCGATGCGTCCCTGAAAAACAGAGAGAAAGAAGATGAGGAAGATGAGAAGGAGGAGGAGGAAGAGGAGGAGGAGGAGGAAAGGCGCAGCAGGGAGGGAGACAGGCAGCACAGTGCAGGTCAGCGCCCGGCTTGCAAGGCACTGACCCGACCTCCGCTGCACGGGCCCCGGGCCGCTGCAAGGGCCCGGGGCCAGGGTGGGGGAGGGGCGGCCGCTCACCTTTCGGATCCGCCGCTTGATGATGGATTCGGCCGCAAACACCCGCTCTCCCACTGCAGACAGCTCCATCTTGTTCAGCAGCGCCCACAGCCCATAATACTTGAGCTCCCTCCTCCCGCGGCCGCTGCTGCACCGCTCGCGCACGCGCGCCCCGAGCACCCAGACCCAGACACGCTCCAGCCCCGGGCCCCCGCCGCTCCCCGGCTCGCCTTCAGTGGCTCGCGCCGCCGCGCGGGCACCACGTGACCGGCACCGTTACCAGGGCCTACACCTCCCCGGGGGCGGTTGCTAGGGAAAGGGAAGAGCGCGCGCTGGCTCTTAAAGGGACCCCGCCCCCAAGAAGACTTGGGGGGGAGGAGGAGGAGGAGGAGGGAGAAGAAGAAGGGAGGAGGAAAGAGGAGGAGGGACGAGAGGAGGAGGGAGGGAGGAAGACGAGGAGGGAAAGAGGGGGAGGTGAAGAGGGGAGGAGGGAGAGGAAGAAGGAGGAAGACGAGAGGGGTGGGGGAATAGAGGAGGAGGAAGAAAGAAGAGAGCAAGAAGAGAAAAAAGAGGAGGGAGAGGGAAGGAGAAAATGATGAGGATGAGGCCAGAAGAAGGAAGAAAGGAGGAGACAGATGGGGGTGGGAGGGAGGATGGGTAGAGAGGGGAAGGGGGAGGAAGAGGGAGGAAAAGAGGGGAAAGGAAGAAGAGGGAAAGAAGGAGGAGAGAAGAAAAGGAAGGGAAAGAGGAGAGTGAAAGGATGAGAGAGAGAAGGAACCAGGAGGAGGGGAGAAGGAAGAAAACACAAGATGGAGAGGAGAAGGAAGGAGGGGGAGAAAGAACTGGGACTCCCTGGTTTTTTGCAAAGCACTACGGGGATGCAATGCTGCAGTATAAGCAGCGTTCCCAGCCCCTCCCCAGGCTGCAAACCTCCGCCTCGGGCCGCCCTGCATCTAAGCAGCCAGGGCCTCGGGCCAGGCAGCCACAGGGCTCTCCAGGGAGTCTGGAAAGGCAGCAGGGTCTCTGGGCCCCTCCGTGGGACTGGAAAAGGAGGGTCCCCTCCAGCCCACGTTTGCAAACGGTGACAAGCGAGGCAGCCAAAATGCCTGCCGATTTTCCAGCAGTTCCCAGTTGTTCTTTTAACATCTGCATTTATTTCTGTATCGGAGAAGATGGGTGATGCGGCCAGTGCAGATGCCTTAAAAAGACACCCCACCAAATCCATGCCCTGCACCTCCAGGAAAATACCAGTCTCTTGGGAAGGAAGGGAACAGGAAGAGGGGGCTTAACTAGGAACGATGGGAGGACATGTTATCTCGGTACCTTAACCCTTCCGCTGACGGGAGTCTACCGACGCTCCCCGCAGATGGTAGACCCACCTAGGCACCGGAGCTCAGCGGACCCTCCCAGGAAACCCAGCCTGGGCCTTCACCTCTTTTGTCACTGTCGAACCTCACAAGACGACTGAGAGGGGAAACTGAGGCCCAGCCACGATGACTTGCCCAGGGGTACATAATAACAGATCCAGTTCTTTTGACTCCTCCCCCAGCACCCTCTCCCCTGGGATCAGTTTATTCTACGGAGAAGAGGGACCTAATTCAAGTCATAGTGAGGACCTCATTAGAATTTAAGCTTAGAGCAGGGCCTCTTAACCTGAAGGTTAGTGGGTAGATTTTAGAGGGTTCATCAACTTGGATGGGAAAAATGACATCTTTATTTCAATATAATTAGTTTCTTTTATAAGCCTATGTACTTTCTTTTATGCACCCAGACATTATCCATAAGCCTCACCAGATTGCCAACAGAGGATCCCCAATCTGGAAAAGGTTAGAACGTGGGAGGCAATTATTAAGTGCTTACTGTGTGCTAGGCAATGTGCTAAGTGCTAGGGGTACAAAGAAAGGCCAGAACACTGCCCCTACCTCCAAGGAACACACAAGACACGTGGAAGACATATATAATGCTGATAATCTCAAAGAGGGGGGTAGGAGAGGGGACCTGGAAAGGCCTCCTGTAAAAGTCAGGATTTGAACTGTCTTGAAGTCAGAGACAATGGGTGGAGGGGGAGGGAGAGCATTGCAGGTGTGAGGGACAGCTAATGCAAATAAGGGGAGGTGGGAAATGGCCATGTTCCAGAAACTGCAAAAAGGCCAGGTCAGTGGATTGTAGAGTATTTGGGGGAGGAGAGGGACAGATTGTAGGAAGTCTGGAAGGGTAGGAAGGGCCCAGGTTGTAGAAGCAACCTTTGGAGTTTATCAGTAGGGCTGGGGGCGATGTGGTCAGATCTGTGCTTTAGTAAAATCCCTTGGAGGATGGAGTGGGGAGAGAGTTGAGGGTCAGGGAGACCAATCAGAAGACCGTGGCAACCGTGATGAGGGCCTGTATGGGAGGGGTGGCAGTGTGAATAGAGAAGAGACAAGTATCAGATTTGAATCAGGGATGATGCTGAGGTGCCTGGGGAATTGGAAGGTCTGGACAGTGCCCTAGTCCTAATGAGGAAGTTCAGAAGAGGGGAGGGTTTTGGAGGAAAGACACTGAGCTCTATTTTGGTCATGCTGAATTTGAAAAGGCCATTGCTGTTGCTGGCCCAGAACTCAGGAGAGACTCGGCTAGCTAAGCAGAGAATTTGTCTGGATAAAGCTGAGAATCGTCACTGAGAGATGACCGTGGAAGCTAGTGAGATCTCCACGAGATATAATAGAAAGAGAAAAAAGAAGAGGGTCAGGACAGCACCTGGGGGGGGGGACGCCCTCAGTTAGTGGCGATAATGTGACAAAAGCTCATTTTATTAGCTAACATTTCTACAAAGCTGGTCTAAGGTTTGCAAGGTGTTTTATAAATCTTATGTCATTTTAACTTCATAACAACAGGAGGGAAGGGGAGAATAGGTGCTGTTGTTAGCCCTATTTTACAGATAAGAAAACTGAGGCAGAGAGAAGTAACTTGCCCAGGTCACACAGCCAGTAGGTGTCAGAGGCAGGATTTGAACTCAGGTCTTCTGGATTCCAAATCCAGTAAAGAAACAGAGGAGGAGTTAGACAAACAGGAGAGCCAGGAAAGAGTAGTGTCACAAAAACCCAGAGATGTAAGGGTACCCAGGAACATAGAGTCTCAGAGCTGAGTAGAAGCTTAAAATAGAGGATGTTAAAAAACTTAGAGGCTCTTTAGGACTAGGCCCCTCCCAGCTGTGACATTCTCTATTCTAATGTCCCCACAGTTCAAAGGTCCCTGCCAGTCTGGACAGTCTCTGTTCCAAGGCCCCTCCCAGCTCTGACGTTCCCTGTTACAAGGCCACTCCCAGCTCTGACATTGGCCTTAGAACAGGGGGTGTCAGAACTGGGAAGGGGCCTCCGAACAGGGAATGTCAGAGCTGGGAGGGGCCTTAAGTCATCTGGTCTAACTTCCTCATTTTGCAAATGAAGGAGCTGAGGCCCACGGAGGGGAACTGAGCTGCCTCAGATCACTCAACTGTCCTCCAGGCTGGTGGGATTTGGTGCCCAGAGGCTTCTGACTCTAGGGCCAGAGTTCCTTCTGTCCCTCCCCCATGCCTCCCAGTCTGAAGGCCCCCCCTTCTGTTTGGGAAGGGACCCACAAAGATGAGGAGTCAGCAATCTGATCTGTTGTCAAATTGTTTAAAAAGAACGAGAAAGGAAAAATTCGTGAATGTGTAACAATAATATTTATGTGAAATCTGTCAAAAAGGAAGCAAGGTTTAGGTTAAGCGGGCCATCTGCTGACTCTGTGGGAGGCCCAGCTGGGAAGGCATCGACACTGACCTCTCTGGGAGCCCTTGGTCAATGGCCTGGAGTGGGGATCCTAGCCTTGAGACTTGCAGGCTCTCAAGGCCAGACGATCCTGCCCCTCTGCCCCGTTCCCTACCTGAACTTCCGGGCTGCTTGGCCCAATGGGTCTTCGGAAACACAGTAGGCCAGCTCTGGGGACCTGAAAACCCATGGTGAGAGAGGCCCAAGGTCTGGCTCTGGGTCCTGACTCTGTGTGCCTGGGTACAAGGGTCTCCAGCCTCCCCCTCCCCGGCTCCTAAATACTCTGTATTTATTATGTAGTTATCAGGTTACATTGTTTCCTCTAGTAGTCAGTCAAGAAACATTTATGAAGCACTTACTGTGTGCCAGGCACAGTGTTAAGTGCTGGGGATACAAAGAAAGGCAAAAGACATTTTCCCCCTGTGCTACCTAAGCCCATTCTGTATCTTACCTACTATGGCTTCAGAAATATTTGTCACTTTTCTGATTTGTTTTCATTTCAACTGAAACTTGTCATTACGAATTAACATCTGACCATGTTGCAGCATATCATATAATAAACTTAACATAACTGACCGGAAAAAAAAAAGATTCCCTGCCTTCGAGGAGTTTACAGTCTACCGGGGAGGTAGCGGGCAAACAGCCAGGTGTAAACAAGACAGAGACAGAATACATTGGAGAGAAACAGCAGAGAGAAAATGCTTATATTGATGTGCAAATGGCAGCTCTTCGAGGGCAGGAACGGTTTCGTTTTATTCACTTTTGGTTTTAAATCAGCACCAAGCACAATGCCCGGCACATAGTAGGCACTTAATAAATGCTTGTCGAATGAATGAATGTCAAATGTGCCGCTAGGACTGGATAAACCTCAAGACTGAAGTCAAGCCAATCTAACAAACATTTACTGAGCAACAGACTTTTGTAAGTCAGCTACCAGGCAGTGTGGTGCAGCGGAAAGAGCCCTGACTCAGGAGTCAGGACTCGGGTTCAGATCCCACCAAACCTGACATGGGTAGCTGTGTGACCTTGGGCAAGTCACTTTCTCTGAGCGAGTGGGGGTATCCTGCTCTAAAAGGGATTTGGGCTTCAGCCAGGGCTGTCCACGGGGAATGGGAACTGATGGCCATCTCTGCCTTGGAGTCATCTGGGTGGGTAATGTTCTTGTCTTACCCAAATAGGTATTATATTCCCCCAGCACCGTGTTCTGCACCCAATAGGCACTTTATAAGGGCGTGATCTACAAGTCCCGTTGCTCCCCTCGTTCCTGGCCAACCCAACGTCCCCCTCACTCTGTCTGAGAAGCCACTACAGATTCATGGCACTTAAGGCACCTTAGAGACCATCTAACCAAATCTCCTCCCTAATTTTACAGAAAAGGAAAC